CTCTCTCTCTCTCTCTCTCTCTCTCTCTCTCTCTCTCTCTCTCTCTCTCCCCCTGATGACTACCTGTAGATAAAAAAATGTAGCTCTCAGCTATTTATTTCTCCAGGGTTATGCCTGCCTGCCTGCCTGGTGTCATGATCTTAACCATAATGATCTTGGACTAACCCTCTGAAACTTTAAGCAAGCCTCCTACTAAATGCTTCCTTTTCTAAATTTCCTTGATCATGGTATGTCTTTATAGCAATAAGATAGTAACTAAGGTAAGCCTCTTGTCTGCCTATTCCTACTACTTTTTCAGTCTGTAATACTCCATACATATGGAATACCTCTGCATTTGATTAAAAAGCCTTACTACCTACATTTGAGATACCCTCTACATTCTCCTGGAACTGGAGTTTCAGACACCTGTGAAGGCCTTGCAGGAATCAAACCTGCGTCCTCTGGAAGAACAGCCAGCGCTTTTGAACACTGACCTATCTCTTTAAAGCCTTTGCATATTTTAAAGTTACTACTTACTATTTCTCAACTCCTCTCAAAACATTAGTTTTGTGCTCCTGGGACACAATTGTTAAGCAAGATATGTGTTTCCTATGCTCATGGAGTCTGTGACTTATGAGAGGCACAACATTCACAATATCCATATTTCAGCACATCAGCAGATTAGGTGTGGAAAAGGAGAAAAATAGCCATGACAGCCTTTGTGTTATTTGTTCCAAAAAATATTACCTTCAATAGGGAAACCCTATTAAACACATAATAACTCCTATTCACACTGCAGAGAGCAAGAGGTGGCCTGGGGACCCTAGAGGAACAACACAAATATCCCACCTTTCCCCCTTTTCTCCCTAGATTAATAAGGCAGGGATGGTTCTAGGGGAATTAAGCTACCATTTGGAAAATTCCTTCAAGGAAAAGAGCAGGGACGAGACAGATGGCAGTGACAGGCCACATGGTGACGGAGGAAGGGAGAAGTGGCTGACCTTGACAAAGTATAAACAGAGTGTGTGAGAATAAGGCGAAAGAATGACACACAGTTCCTGGGCACTGAAGGCTGGCATGGCCGTCAGCCTGTGAGGAAGCAGCTGTAGCTATGTAGTGGAGTCCAGAGTTGGAGAGCTGGAGCAGACACTGGACAAGTAAAGTAGGTAAACAAGAAGGAATTCTCCATATTAATCTTCCTGAGATCTAGGAATTATTTTCTAATCAACATCATTGATACTTCCTTAACTTATTAATTAGTACTTATAAAAATAATAAATCACAATGGATGGTGTAGTTTTATTTCAACAAAAGCTAAGAACAGTTCTCTAAACTCCCATTCCAGTTGGAAGAAACTTCCAAATGACAATAAGATTAATTCCAAACCTTTGTTTGTAAAATCATTATTTGTTGTACAGAATATGTTTTCTCAGAGAAATGACATAACAGTTCCTGATTCAGTTCTTGGGTCAAATATTAATTATATTTGTCTAACTATAGCAAAAATAATACCTGCAGGAAAAACGTTAGAACAGGATGAATTGTTGTAGCTCACAGATGCAGGAAATTCAATTGATACTTACTTGACTTCACACGCTTGGGCAGAATATTAGAATATTGTGCTGTTGGGAGAGTTTCAGGGTCATGGGGGATGTCACTCAGATTTCTGAACAATACCCTGTAAGCAGCCAGTGGCAACATGATGTGCAAATCTGTGAAACTGATGCTTTAGAGACTCCAGGATGTGGGTGGAAGCTTCTTTGGGCCTATGGCAGTGCAGAATAGAGCAAGGCAGGAATTCCAAGCAGAGATAGAGGAGAAAAGAAGGCAGAGCCAAGGAGATGCCCTGGAACTTTACCTGGTAAGCCACAGCCAAGTAGTGATACACAAAGGAATAAAATGGGTAAATTTAAGATGTAAGAGCTAGTTAATGAGAAGCCTGAGCTAATAGGCCAAGCAGTATTTTAATTGCTACAGTTTCTGTGTGATTATTTTGTGTCTGGGTGGCTAGGAAACAAACAAGCAGCCTCTGCTTACAAAATGGCATGCCACTACATCCACATAAAACCTGAGAGAGCTTGGAAAGAATTTCTAGACACAAAAGAACAGAGTTTAGCAAAGCTTCTTGGTAGCTGCAATTTTTTCCCAGATGGGCTCTGTTTGCTGGCAGTAAGCAGGGGCACCATGGCTCCTTTAAGAGAGGTCTTCCTGATTCCGCACTGGTAGTAAGGCTGTGAGGCCTTCTTTAGGGGAGGACTCTCTGGTCTGTGTTGGTTGCACAAACAACTCTGGCTCTTTCAGGAGGTCAAACACTTAAATGGGGTCTGTGAGCAGCGTGTTACAAATTGCTTAATGGTAACATGGACCTATTGTGACTCTGGAGCTGGGTTAGCCATTTGGACAAGAAACTGCTCTTGCCTGGACTACTTGATGGTATGCTGTATAAACTGGATGTGCAGGACCCACAGAAAAGTGACTGCTGAACTAGCCTAGAGGTGAGATGGTCCTTCGGGCTTCTTGCTTCATGAAAGAGTCTGTCAGATATTCTGCAGGACACAGAAGAAAGTGACTGACAAATTGCCAATAGAGGTGAAGCAGTCTTTCAAATTTCCTGCTTCATGGAAAAGTCTGACAGATACTATGGGGCTGTAGGCTGAATATGGATGCCTAGAAGAACGTTGCAGAAGAACTTTGGATGACTATTGGGCAGCAAGATATCTCTGTCAATTCTAGAGTTTTCGAAGTTGCTTACAATGCACTTCCTATTTACTTAGGTAATAGTATATCCTTCTAAGGTCTTTGGTGGAGTTTAAAAACAGATAGTAACAGTTATATTTTTACTTAATTATGATGAAAGATAAATTAGATATAAAGCCTTAGATTCACAAATATAGGATAGATGATAGAGTATTTTCCTTAATTTGCCAAATGTAAATGGACTAAATATTGTAGCTATAATTCTTGCTTGATAACTATTTTGTTGTAAGTAATCTTGCTATGTTAAATTTAAAACTTTGCTTTTCATTTAGACAGAAAAAGGGAAGTGATGTGGGATTCCCCTCTGTATGCTGTGAATATGTTTTATTGTCA